GAGGCCCTATCTCAAAAAGATGAAAAAAAAAGGTTTAATTTTTATTTTTAATTATGTGTATATATGTGGGTATGTGCACATGAGTACAGGTGCCCTCAGAGGCCAGAGGTGTTGGATCCCCAGAAGCTGGAGTTACAGGTAGTTGTGAGCCATCTAATGTGGTTCCTGGGAATTGAACCTGGGTCCTCTGGAAAAACAACAAGCACTCTTAACAGCTGAGCCATCTCTCTAACCTTCAACATGCTTTTGACACACATACCCTCATATACATACAACTATAGCTCTGATCTTATGCACTTCAATAGTTCTACTTTAAAACCTTGGAGCTGGGCCAGCGAGTTGGCTCAGTGTGTAAAGCCTAACAACCGCAGTTTGATCCCCAGGACCCATGTGGTTGAAAGAGAGAAGCAATTTTTGCCAGCTGTCCTCTGACCTCTAAAAACTTGGAGCTGCAGATCAGCCAATCCATTTTATGGAATTTATACTATATAAACTAACTGGCAAAGTGAGTTCTCATTGTTTTCCCAATCAGCTGGTATGTGTACATGTTTGTGTATGTGTGTCTGTGTGTGTGTCTGTGTGTGTTTATCTGTGTACATGTGGAGGTCAGAGGACATCTTCAGGTGTTGTTCCCCCTCAGACACCATCCATCTTGTTTATTTGAGACAAGGTCCTTTGCTAAGCCCCTGGCTCACTGGTTAGGCTGCCGGCCAGCACGCCCAGGGGTCCTTCTGTCTACTTCCCCAGCACTGGGATTACAAGGGCACACCACCACACCCAGCTTTTTATGTGGGTTCTGGGGATCTAACTGAGGCCCTCATGCTTGTGTAGCAAGTGCTTTACTGAGCCATCTCCCTTTCTTCCTTTCTTTCTCTCTTTCTTTCTCTTTCTCAATCTTTTAATTTTTAAGAATTTTTTGGTCTTTTGAGACAGGGTCTCCTTATAGCTCCAAGTGACCTGGATACTCACTATGTAGACCAGGCTGGCTGTGATCTAACAGATATCTATCTGCCTGCTTCTGCCTCTTGAGTTCTGGGGTTAAAGACATGTACTACCACCATACCTGGCTCTTTTGTCTTATCTTTTCTTTTTGAGACAGGGTCTCCCTGTAGCCCCAGCTGTCCTGGAACTATGTAGACCAGGCTGGCCTTGAACTCACAGAGATCCGCCTGCCTCTGCCTCCTGAGTGCTGGGACTAAAGGCGTGCGCCACCACGCCCGGCTTCTTTTCTTATTTTTTATGACATGGTTTTACTATGTAGCTCTGGCTGGTCTGGAATTTCTATGTAGACCAGACCAGCCTCAAACTTGAAGTGACTCTCTTGCCTCTGTCTCCAAAGTGCTGGGATTACAGGTGTGTGCCACCATGCCCAGCTTAGACTTCCTCTAATATTTTATTTTTATTTTATGTTTATGAGTGTATTGCCTGCATGTAAGTGCACCCATGTTGTGTAATGCCCTAGGAGGTTAGAAGAGAGCACTGGATTCCCTTGGAACTGAAGTTATGGATGATTGTGAGCCACCATATGGGTGCTGGGACTTGAACCTGGGTCCTCTGCAAGAGTAGTCAGTGCTCCTAACCACTAATCCATCTCTCTAGCCCCAGACTTAATTTTTTTGTTGTTGTTCTTTTGAACTCACAGAGATCCATCTGCCTCTGCCTCCCAAGTGCTGGGACTAAAGGCATGCACCACCACACCCAGCCCCAGACTTAATTTCTATTAAGAAGGCACTAGGGGTTAGGGGTATGACTTACTGATAAATTGTATACATAGCATGTGTGAGGTCCTGGGTTCAATCCCCATCACCGAAAAAATTGGAAGAAACTAGAAAAATATTTTAGGAATGATACTGTACATTGCTGGGTATTTATTTCTCAATAACAGCTCAAAGGCAAACAGATATGGCTCAGAACCTTTTATCTGAGCAAGAATGAAATGTGAGAACTCCAGTTCTTTGTGTTTTATTTATTCACTCATTTACTTATTCATATGTGTGGGGGTGTGAATATGGAGTCCAAAGGTCCATGCTGGGTGTCTTTCTCAATCATTTTCATCTTAGTTTTAAAAAAAAATTTTTTTTGAGTGTTTTGTCTACATGTACATAAGTACATCACATGCATTCAATGCCCATGGAGGCCAAAAGAGAGTGTTGGGTCCCCTGGAACTAGAGTTACAGATGGTTGTTAGCTGCCATGTGGATGCTAGGAACCAAACCCTGGTCCTCTGAAAGAGCAGCCAATGAGTGAGCTTAACCCCTGAGCCCTACATCTTATTTTTTGAGACAGGCTTTCTCTCTGAATTTGGAGCTCACCAATTTACTTTGTAGCAAGGTCCAGTGATCCCTCTGTCTGAGCCTTCCCAGTGCTAGAGTTACAGATGCAGACACTGCTGTGCCCAGCTTTTTACATGGTACAGGGGGTCAAAACTGCTCACACTTGCACAACAAACACTTTACCAACAGGGTCGTCTCCCCAGCCTGTGTTGTTTTTGATACAGGGCCTTGAACTGGCTAACTAGTCCAGGCTGACCTTGAACTCAAGATTTTCCTGCTTCAGCCTCTTGAGTGCTGGAATTACAGGCTTGAGCTGGCATCTGGCTTAAAGGGCTTCCCTTTGAATATTTCCTATCAATCCTTTCTATGCTCTGCCCAAAAAGACTGATGAAATATAGGAAATGCTATCCAAAAACTTGGTACTTTGGCATGTAGAAACAGAAACAGCAGGAACAGGAAGTTCTAGGACCACTCCCTTCTTGAAGCAGGCTAGAAAACTTAGGAATTCCTTCTCCTCACCTTCTGTCCAGAGGCAGATCACAAAACCTAGGTGGAGCCAGTAATCTCAGCCCCTGGGAGGCAAAGGCAGAAGAATCACTGCAAGTTCAAGACCAGTCTGTAAACTTTGTTCTCCTTAATCCATCTTTTGTCCTGTAGGTCACAGCTGTGAACCCTGAGACAGGCCAGGGAAAGATATTACTTTCCTTCTCTGCAGGACTGTCAATGATAGTTTGAGATTGAATACCAGTGGGCATTAAATGTAAATGCCCAAATTCCTGCTTCTCTTCAGACTGTGCAACTCTCTTTTTTAAATCAGAAGTATTTTTTTTTATTTTTGTTTGAGACACGGAAGTGAGGCCATTTCAACTCAAACCAGCCTTGTTCCCGCCCCACACTCAGTCCAAGGCCCACAGACTCAGAGCCCCCTAGAGAACTCCTTCTTGGGCTTTACTGCCCTGTTTATGATCAGGAGTGCCTGTAAGGGTTTCCAGCCCAGAGCCATGTACTTCAAGAAAATTAGAGCGAGTTCAACCGAAGAATGCATTTCTCCTGCAAAATGGGAAGAGTTTGAAAGGTGATGTGGAGAGGAGTGGCCTGACATCCCCATCACAGCTGTATTGCCAGGAGGATCAATATTAGGAAGGAGTGCACATCCACTCTGGAATCAAGTTCTCTTATTAAAACGGTCTGTGAGCTGGGCATAGTGGCGCACGCCTTTAATCCTAGCACTTGGGAGGCAGAAGCAGGCAAATCTCTGAGTTTGAGGCCAGCCTGGTCTACATAGTGAGTTCTAGGACAGTCAGGGCTACATAGTGAAATGTGTCTCAAAAAAGAATAAAGAAAAGTAACAAATAAGTAAAACTGTATGCCCAGCTACTCCTAGGAAAAGCACCTCACACCTGCATATTAACATTGTCAAATAAAATCATATCTAGCTGGGCATGGTAATGTATGCTTGCAATTCCCACACTCAGAAGGTAGAGGCAAGAGAATCAAGGTCATCCCTGGTTGTTTGAGGTCAGACAAATAAGCCAAAATATCACAGGGTCAGGTAGGGGCTGGGGGTGTAGCTCTGCAGTAGACTCCCCTCCCAGCCCGAGCGAAGCCCAGAAGGGGAAATTTTCTCAAGATGAGCAGATGTTTTCCTTGTTCTGTTGACCTCGACATTATGATTTTACTTATAAAAGCATCCTTGTGTTTTGTTTTAGATAATTTATTGTTAAACGGTGAAGTCACAAAGCAAAGTAAATGGGACAGAAGTCAAAGATAAAATTTAAAAACACACGGTTGTTTTATTTTTTATTTTTGTCAAATAGTATTATGGATTTTCTAAGTTTTAAAAATAGGAAAGGGTTCCCGGCGTGGTGGTGCATGCCCGTAGTCCCAGCACTTGGGAGGCAGAGACAGGCGGATCTCTGTGAGTTCAAGGCCAGCCTGGTCTATATAGTGAGTTCCAGGCCAGCTGGGGCTACAGGGAGACCCTGTCTCAAGAAGACAAAAAAAAAAAAAAAAAAAAAAAAGGAAAGGGTCAAATGAAAAGATACTTGTTCAAATGAAGTCTTTTTTAGATGTTTGAAAGAAAACAACTTTTCTGAAAATAGGAATCTTCAGCCAAAGCCATAATTTAAGAGACAAAGCACAAGCTTTGTAATGAACACACCCAGTCTCTCACGCTCACTTTGGAATGCTGAGTTTTCAAAATCTCCACTTCCACCTTGCAAACTAACAAGAATCTGCTCTGGGCTACATCACCAACGCCAGGCACCGGGACTCTCGCCAGGCTTCCGTGTCTGCAGTTTTCAAGGGAGATTTGGAGAAGATTCGAAAGAACTCCATACAGCTGGCCCCTGGTGAATAACTTAGCAGCATAAAGCCTGCTTCTCCATCCGCATTAAACATCCGCAGTCACTTGCTTCTACTTACTTATACAGTTCAGGTTCTGTTCATACCTAGAAAGTTCTGCCTGAACTTAACACAATCCTTCTGAGACCAAAAAAAGAAAAAAAAGGAAAATCTCGGTTTTTTTTGGTCTTTGTGAGACAGGGTCTCCCTGTAGCCCCAGCTGGCCTGGAACTCACTAAGTAGACCAGTTGGCCTTGAACTCACAGAGATCTGCCTGCCTCTGCCTCCCCAGTGCTAGGATTAAAGGCGTGCACCACCATGCCTGACCAAAAAGGAAAATCTCTTTTTTTTTTTTTTTTGAAGCAGGGTCTCCCTGTAGCCCCAGCTGTCCTGGAACTCACTATGTAGACCAGGCTGACCTTGAACTCACAGGGATCCACCAGCCTCTGCCTCCCAAGTGCTGGGACTACAGGCGTGCACCACCACGCCTGGCAGGAAAATCTCTTAAGGAGACTTTAAAAGACTGGTGAGTTCAGAAATCATATTCTCTCTTGCCATTCTGGCCACATTATTCTGAGTTCAAACAAGTACCTTGATTGGAACAGAGAAAAGCCTTGGGAATTCTCCTAATTTAAAAATTACATCTACTAAGTGACACTATCAAATCAGATAGAGAAATCCACTTTAGTCAATAAATGCTGTTCAAAAGCCAGGTAGCATCTGTTACTCTGTGTAAACTAAGGAGCCTGTGAGGTCCCAAAATGTCCCTACTGAGCTATACCCTGGCCAACTGGGATTATGAAGTTACAACCGCTCTACCCAAGGGGATGTATCCCATTCATTAAAAGCACAACAGACTAGACACTGTTGTCTGCAGAAGGCACAGACTAGGCAGCGCAGCTCTAGATGGACCCAGTGAGCTCTCAATTCTGCCTTCAGGACAGATGGAAGCCATCCACAGAAACCCAGAGATACAACAGAAGGCAGAGTCTCTGTAACCAACTTGATATCATTTGAATGTAGTCAAAGGAATATGTACAGCTTGTACTTTCCAATGTTGGGATCAAAATTTGCCACTTTCTTTACTCTAGCACCACAGGGCTTGGGAGGAGGTTCTAAGAAGCAAGGGCCTGGGATGGGGTGGGGGGTAGCCTGGTGCATAGCACCCGTTGGTCCATTTCCATCCCTGTCACTGAAGCTGGCTCAGCTGGACTCTTGAAGTTGGCTGGGGCACACCTTTAGTTCACACCTCACTTCATGATAGTCACTTCCATATATACAATGGCACAGAAGAAATGTCCCCATCACCAAAGTGGCAGGATTGTAGAATTTGAATTGTGACATCACTCCTTAGTCTGAATTCATTTTAGCTTAATCTGTGGGAATTTAAGCAAGATTCCTTGCTTTTTTGATTCAATTCAATAGTATAATTTTGATACTACCAAAGTCCTAAGAATGAGTCCATCTAGACATTTAATCATGAGATGAGCTGAGCCACCAGAAGCATCCAAATCCACCTCCTCCTAGGGGCAGCTGGTCTTAGGCACAATGGTTGGTCTGGAGTGGAAATCTACTTCAGGCAGTCCCAGCCAGCATTTGTCCAAAGCATTCTTTCAAAATGTTGTTTCTCTTAAAAAGAGCCCTCTGCTACATTTGCCTTATGAAAAAAAAAAAAAAAGGGGGGGGGAAGTATTTTGAAACCTCAAAATACCTATCAGGAGCATTACACAAGCCCAAGGAGATGCTAACCAGATGCCAAGCATACAAGGGTTGTGCCAGAGCCTGCGCTTGGACCCAACCTGCGGGGAACCACATGGCAGCTGGTGCCCCAGACTGGGCCATGCATCTACCCATGGCAAGAACAGGCAGAACTTTCCTTTTCAAGAGGCATCTCCTTTTGTGGTTTGGGTTCTATTTTGTTGTTTTTGTTTTCAATATCATGAAAAAGATCTAGAGAATTCCAAGAGTTTGGATTAACAGATAGATGGAAGTGGAAATAAAAATGGAATGGAGCTCAGTTCACAGACTGAACACATATGCTTATCCCAATCCACTGAATTAACTCCATTTTTTTTGCAGCAGTGAAGATATTGGTGGCTAAATTTTTTTTTCACTCACTTTTTCTATTCCAGGGACTTTTCCACCTTCTTCACACACCAGATGAGCTCACCTCCGCCTCTCCCTTGTCCAAACTGTTATCAATGGCCTTTTGTTCTGGCTAATTTTTTTTTTTTCTTGTCAAATTGAGACTTTCGGGAAACTGCACCAATCAATCAGAACATATATATATATATATATATATATATATGTATATATATATATATTCCTTAAAAGAAAAACTATTTCAAAAATCCGAAACCAAACCAAGTATTTCTATCATTATAAGATGCAGTGACTTTTTTTCTTCTTTCCCTAGCTGAGCTCAGAGGTATCTCCAGGTTAGATTCCCCTGGGGCTGGAATGATGTGCAAGGGAAATATCACCCAGCTTGTCCAGAGTGGTCTGGGGACCAGGGAGGTGGAGGAACAACTGATCTAACCCCAAGCAGCTTGCTGGAGTCAGCATTCATCTGAGAGACCATCGCTGCCCAGGAACTCTGTGGCCTCAAGCTCCACACTGGACAGAAACCTCCTCAGCTTCTTGTGGCAGTTGTAATCCAGGGTGGTGGTATAGATGGTCTTGGGGTACTTGGGGTAGACAATGGTGGTACTGAGGAAGCGCGCAGGTTTGTGGCGGGGCTCGAAGTGCACCTCAGCCTTGTAGTTGCGCCAAGTGCAATTGGGGATGCAGGTGACTGTCTGGCTGCAGGAAGCCACTGCCAGGCCCAGGGGCAGCTGCACATCATCAATGAAGTGTCGGTCTGAGTCATACTTGACTGAGGAAGTATACCTGTGGGGAGACACAAGTCAGCACGAAGCTGTTGCTGAATTAACAGCATAGGGTTCCCTCTGTAACCTCTCATCTCTCCTGGGGTGCAAACAGTGAGATGTGGCTGCACCAGGGAGAAGCAGCAGTTTATGAAGTATGTTCTCTGGATCAGACATAGATATATATCACTCTAAGCACTTTCATCACAGGACCTAACTAACTGATCTTCCCCAAAGACCTGGGGAGTTGAAAGTCTCAGTGCCCCTGAATGATGGATAGGGTGGATGGTTGGATGGTTGGATGGTTGGTTGGATGGATGGATGGATGGATGGATGGATTGGCTGATGGATTTGCAAGGCTGGGAGTAGAACCCAGAGACTCAATTACTAGATCAGCTCTACCCCTGAGCTATACCCCAGACCTGAGCTGGGACTTAAATGTAAGCACACAGGATTCCAAAGTTTACCCCGAGTTCACCATTTCCCACAGCAGGCCACACCCCTGTATCTGCTCCCATTTACTTAAGATAGAGGCCCTTACTCTAACCACCTAACCTGTGTAAGTCTCAGTTTCCTTTTTCTGTAAAAGGTACCTGATAATAAAGGGGTAGAGCCTTTATAATCATGCAACCAGTCCTGTCAGAGTAAGTACAATCATGCACAGCACAAAGACATTTTGGTCAGTGACAGGTCACATATATGACAGTGGTCCTGTATGATTACAGCACCCAGTGATGAAGCAACCTTCTTAGTGTGGGTAAATGCACATTAGCATGTTCATGCAGTAACAAAAGCACCTAAGGACCTGTTTCTCTGAATGCATTTCATGGTTAAGCAGGGCTGTACTGTAGAACAAGGTGGTCTGCTCTTTCGTGGGGGTGAGCCGCTTCTCTCTCCCCTCCATGACCAGCCAGCTCTTGAATGAGAGGTGGAAGGAACCCAGAACTGCTGAGTGCTGGTTCTGGAAGCTTGGTGATAGCTATAGTTCCAGTGCTTTGTCCACTTTGGCCTTTGATTTGGAACTTTCAACCCTTACCCTTAGTGTCCTTACCCAATCAATGAAAACCAACTACAATCTTGATCCACAAACTTACCATTTACATTCCTCAGCTGCTTGATGATGATGATGATGATGATGATGATGATGATGATGATGATGATGAAAGCCTAAGTAGCCCTGCCTGGCCTACAACTGCCATTCTCCTGCCTCAGCCTCCCAAGTGCTGGGATTATAGGTGTGTGCCCCCATGCCTGGCTGGGAGTTAATATTTTATGGAAACAAAGCAGCAATGACTTTGCTATCTTAACGTTGCAGCTTCAGAGATATTGAAATCTGTGCAAGCATCACAAAGAGATGCACCCACCCACCCCTACTCCTGGTCAAGTGAATAAGAACCACCGTTCTGTTCTAAGTCAGGTGGGAATGTCTATTCTCAGAGTCACAAAGACACTGGTGAGAGCTAATGCCATAGTCATGTCCCAGTTTTGTTGGAGATACAAGCTCCACGGGAATAAAAGGCTAACCTGCTCACCTCCAAATGGATGAACCTTTCTCTATTCCACATCAAAGGGCCCTTTGTGTTCACAAAACTGAAACTCCAGCTACAAAACCCCCATTCACCAAAAGCAAAATTCCTCTGTCTAAAAAGACATCTCTTTACTGGAAACTTTCCATGACTCTTTGCCCCTGATAATCCTGAATGAGATCATACCCAGAGGACTTGCCCAGTGCCATAACATGAGACAGGGTCGGCACCTTCAAGAGGGGACAGAGGGACTGACTGGGTAGCTTCTGCAAAGAATTAATATTCAACAAAATCCTTAGCACCCGATGGTCATGGTATATGACAAGATCTCTCTTTTATTTTAAAAAGAGTGCCTATACTAGGCATCGTAGTGCACAACTGTAATCCTAACACTCAGAAGGCTGAGGCAAGAGGATCATCACCAACTCAAGGTCAACCTGGGCTACATAGTGAGTGCTAAGCCAGTCTGTGCTACCTAACAAAACCCCATCTCAAAAAATTAACTATGGGGGCTGGAGAGATGGCTCAGTTGTTGCTTTTGTAGAGGACTGGGGTTCAGTTCCTAGCACCCACATGGCAGCTAACAACCCTCCAGTTCTAGGGAACTTGCTTCTCCAGGCATTGCATGCATGAGGTATACTTCTATATATGCAGGCAAAACACTCATACACATAAAATAAAAATAAAGAAAAAACTTAACTATGGGGCTGGAGAAATGGCTCAGTGGTTAAGAGCACTGGTTGTTCTTGCAAAGGACCTGGGTTTGGTTTCCAGCATCCACATGACAGTCAATAATCTGACACCCTCTTTCTGGCTTCTGCAGGCACTGTATAACACTAATGCACTTACATGAAGACAAAACACCCATACGCATAAAATAAATTTTTTTAAAAAATTAAATAAACAAATGGAATGTCTATTGGTTTGAATGAAAGAAAAAAGTCAAACTCTTTGGTACATGTTCACAATTAATTATTTTTTTTTTGGTCTTTTGAGACAGGGTCTCCCTAAAGCCACAGCTGACCTGGAACTCACTATGTAAACCAGGCTGGCTTCACCCGCCTTTGCTTCCTAAGTGCTGGGATTAAAGGTGTGTGTCACCACCACACCCAGCTTGGAATTCTTTTTTAAAAAAAGAAAATTTAAGAAATAAAATTAGGGTCAGCTATACTTACCTTATTTCCTTTGGTGGTAAGGGGTCAAACTCAACTCCTTCGCCAAAGGACAGGGGGCACAGCCTTGGTGAGCAGCCAGCAGCCAGCACATGGGTAAGAGATGCTGGGTTCTTCCAGACAGAGGAGAGTGTGGTTAGAGCTGTAAGTAACTGTCAAAGCATGTACCCCACAGAAGGCTGAGCCTCTGAGCCTCTGCTGATGGGCCACATGGTGACTTGTGTGCTCTCATCCTTGGCCTGCCAGGGAAGGCTAGTCAATGGCACCAGAAGTGCATTAGACAGGGCATTAGAAGATCTGGGTTCAAATCCCAGATCAGTTCTGTCCCTCTTCCCACTCCCTCTCTTTTAATTTTTTTTTTTTTCCAGTTCTGGGCATAAGACCCAGGACTTTGAGCACACTAGGCAAGTGCTCTATTTCTAAGCCATATCTCTAGCCCTCCAGGTCCATCTTATGTGCTTTGTGCCCTCAGAAGAGTCACATTTCCTTATCTGCATACGGGGGGGAAAGGGTGCCCCCTCTCCTTCACTTTGGTTTTGTGAAAGGCAGAAATGAGGAAGCTGACAAGCTGACATGAGCTTCACCTCAGGACTGAGGCCAGAGCCAGAGCCACAGCACCACAGGGGCCCTGTGGTTAAAAAAAAAAAAAACCTTAACAACCCAAGTTTAACTCTCTAGAACCTAGAGACCCCTGTGTTACAGTTTCAGCAATAGAAGAGGAAGGTCAAAGCTAATGCCAAGAAAAGAAAAAGCTTCCAATGATTTTTTTTCTTTTTTAAATAAAGAGCCACTGCCCCTTCCTCCCCCTTGCCTCTGGACTTGTCAAACCTACAGCTACTCAAGATAGAGGACTCTCTTTGACAGTGTTAAGAGGAGAACAGAGATGCTCTCCCCTCCAATAGCCAGTCTGATTCATCAGGGAAGGCTCAGGTGACAGTCCCATCCAGGTCACCCAGTTTGCTAGAATCAGGGCTTCTCTGCAAAGACAAGCACAGGGTAGCCTGACCTTGGCAGCCCTTTGTGCTCTCTGGTTTTCTGAGATCTGTCATTTACTTTACTTAATTTAAGAGCTGGGACCTACACTTATGACAGGGTATGGAAGTAGCAGTCCCTCCCCCAGGACAGAGAAGGAAGCAAATGTTTCTAGAAGGTTGGCCTTGAGAACTTTACTGTGTTACAAGGACAAGGTATCCAGTAGAGGCATAGGGTGGAGAGATACAAAGACCAAAATGACTGTGACAGGGAGCAGAGGAGGGTCATCAGGGTGCAGGTCCTGGGATGAGGTGGTGGTTAGTGAGCCCAGGCTGGGGAAGGGAATGCAGTTCAAGTCAAGGTCAGCATGACTGAGGCAGAGCAATGAGAGGTGAGCACAGACCGAGAAACAGTCTGACAATGCGCCCAGCTCTCTGGCTGCCCAAATCTCCCCAACAGTAGGGCACCTCCCAGGCAGCCCCAGAGGTAATGCAGACACCAGGTGGAGGTGGTTGCTCTCTCACATTCCCACGATAGCCTTCTTCCAGGTACCATGCTGTTCTCGTGTCCCCCGCTTCCTGAGAGAGGGAGATGGGGTGGGTTGGTAGAATGGATGACAAAAGCACAAGGAGCCATTGGGGAATGGAGAACACACCATGGGTTCCGGCAAGCATCTGAAAAGGCGTCCAAGAGGGACATGAGTTGCATGTGGAAGGGCTGTCAGGTGAGGGTTAAGATTCATGTCAGGTAAAAGGAGCAACATCAGAGGCACCAATATGTCTGGTCTGTGGTCAGAGCAGGTGTAAGGTGAGGGCCTGATGGGGTTGGTTGGTGCTGAAGGCCAGGTTGAAGCAAGTTCCACCTTGGAATGCACATAAGAGATGCTGGTGCCTGCTGAGACAGGGTCAGTAGGTCGACAAGGCCCCACACCACCAAAGTTCCAATGTGTTCCTTAAGAACAACGCTGCCACTGACCACCTCAGGAAGGGTACAGTCAATAGCCACCCCCAAACCTACTTTCAACTTTGTAAGCAGGATGTGGCCTCCCCTAGTTCTGCCTCAATACCAACATCTGAGCAGTTCCCAGAGCAAAACAGACTTGGAGTTTTTCTTGAAACAACTTTTAAAGGAAAGGGGTTAGTACTTTTAAAATCCTGGTCACCTGGAGGGCTCCGACCTAATTAATTGCAGAACACTGGCCTGGTTAGGTATTCAGGACAGGGGGGACCACCGGAGACTAAAGGCTCATGGTGTGACTCTTCATAAGGTCCTCCCTAACTTTGGCCAGCCTCACTCTCCGCAGCAGGGGAACCCAGAGCGCACCCCTGTCCCCGGGTCCGGCCAGAGGGAGGCCGCCTTGGAAGCAAAGCCGCGAGGCGTGGGCCCACGGGTGGGGAAGGTCGGTTCCGGTCGGTGTCCCGGGAGCCCCACCCAGGCTGCCCCAGCAGGAATGCGGTCAAGCCGCAGCCTGGGAGCCCCGGGGGCCGCCACCTCGAGGGGAGGAGACGGCGGCTCTCCTCTCCCAGGGCTCCCGCGCCTCCCAGGCGATGACAATTTTCCAGCCACTGGCTCCAGCTGGCCAGGCTCTCGCTACGCTCCCGCCCTGGGCTCCCGGTGATGGCCACGCCATCCCGACGGGCGGGTGTCCGCACCGACAGGGACTCCCTGGGCCGCCTGCGGTGGGCTGGGGAGGGGACAGCACGCGCGGGGCCACTCACCGGGGCTGCGGGGGTTGCCGACGCGTCCGGCTCCAGCGCCCCCGGGACCGCTGCGCGCTCCCCCCCGCCTCCCGCCGCCGCCGCGAGCCCCCAGTGGCTGGGGCTGGGGCTGGGGGGCAGCCCTGAGTCCGGGCTGTCCAGGACGCCGTCGCCCTTCTTCTTCGTGTCCACGAGCTCGGGGACATCCTGCAGGCTCAACCGGCCCACCATGGCTGTGCGCGTGGCGGGACCGGGGACACCCGGCCTGGGGTTCGCGGGTGAGCGAGAACCGCACACGCGGGCCGGGGCCGGTGCCCTCCGGGCCGCCCAGTCTGCCCAGCCGCCCGCGCGCCGTCCGGGTGTCGCCGGCTGCAGCGCCTGGGGCCCCGCCCTCCGCTCCGCCTCTCGGGGCCGGCCCAGCCGCGGAGTCCGCCGAGAGGCCGGGCGCCAGGGGCCGCTGCGGTCCCGCCGAGAGCCGCCCGCCTGCGCCGCTCTCTACAAGCCGCGGGAGCAGATCGCGCACGCCGTGGCCTCCCGGCCTGCTCCGTCGCCCGCGGGCAAGGCTGTGCAGAGCCAGAGGAGAGTCCCAGCCTGCAGAGGCCGGCGGGAACCCGCAAACAACTGGAAATTATTAATACTTAATGCGCTTCGTATGACTCCGGCCGCCTGTTGGCCCAGTAGGGCCGGCTCTGGCTCTCAAGTCGGCCCTGGAGGAAAGACAGCCTTACTACTGCGCCGGACTCCCAGGGGCCTCCATCACACCCTCCCTGGTGCTCAGCTGAACAGGTTGTGGCCAGGCCAGGCAGGGAGGTTCTGAGGGTGTCACAGGTTAGGACTTCCAAGATGGACAAGCAAAGCAAGCTGCCTCCCTGAGCAAGCTGTCTCAGGGGCCAAGATCCCCTTGTGGGAGGCACAGGTTTCATGCACAGAGACTTTCGTCCTGTGCCCTCTGAGGGGATCCCTTTTGAAAACAAAAACAAGCATATAAACAAAACTGACAGGGATGTGTGCCTTTTCCCCCTTGATTTGGCAGAGAAGCCCTTCTTTGGGGCTCTTTGGATGCTGGCTGTAGGACTGGGCTGTTCCCAAATTCAGTGCTTTTCCTCATAGTAATCTCCAGGATCAGCAGCAAGTATGGAGTTTTGATGGTGCTCAGCTGAGGTCCTGGAACTGAGGCTTCTGCCAGGCCTACTCAGCAGGTGCCAGCTCCAAATGCCATATACCCAGCCAGACTTCTCTGACTAGACAAGAGGTAGACTCTGCATTGCTCACCATGGAAGCCCCATCCACATCTTTGCAAAGACAAAGAACGTTTGTCCTGCTTGGGGCAGGCATGTTTAAAGCATATACTTAGAATGAGCAGATCTGCCAGCAAAGTTCAGTCCTCCTTTCTGTCTGCCCATCACTATCAGATAAGTAGACAGAAGGACTTGACTTGTCCAAAAATCACAAGACTAAGAAACCAGGATTGTCCCTGCCACAGAGGATATATTCTGGAGCATGCTGAGCTCTGGGAGGTTGTTCATTCATTCAGGATATGTGGGAGTAGGTTACAGAAGCCACAGTTTACAGCCCTGGACAAATGTCTAGCGCAAGGACATCCTGTTCTGCCACATGTCCCTACTCCTGTTCATCCCATCCCAGCACACCGAAGCAGAGCTGAACCCCCAGCATCAGAAGGAGAGACCTGTGTGCTTTCTGTGCTTGTGAAAGGTGGGCTGGTCAGATTAGGGAATGTGTTCAGGAAGATAGCAGCTACTCCAAGGAGGTGGCAGCCTTCTACCCCTCAGCCTGGAAGAGCTAGAGGATAGGACTGAGAAAGTTCAGCATGCTAGGCCAGAGCAATCATGCTCCATCTAAGTGCAGATTGTTGTGGAGAGTTTGGGAGGTGCTTCCACTGGGGCTTGCTAGGTCTGGAGCCTGAGAAATAGTGGCATTGCCACCTCTGAGAACTCTGAAGGGCTCAGCCTATCTACACTCTGGTGGATGATCCATAGAGATATCAAAGCTGCTGGAAGAAGCAAGGGACTATGAAGCTGCCACCCTTGGAGGGGTCGAGTAAATCCAGAGGACACATTTCTGGCACACTTTCTCACTGGCAACAGAGCTATTAAACAGCTGGTGCAGGATTTCACAGGGGCTTCTGGGCCACCAGAGGAGCAACCATTGACCAAACTCAGGAAGCAGCTGACCTCCAGCAATTAAGAGTTGTGTCCGACCACAGAGAACAACCTCTCTCAAAAAAGGAGAGACTCAGCAGAGGTCTCCAAACCAGAGGGCATCCTCCAGCCTCAGCACAGCTGCTGAGATACTCCCAAAACATGGGCCGATTGACTGCTAATGCTTCCTTCCTTCCAGATGTGCTCAGCCCTGATGTGTGCAGAAGTCAGAAGTACTTGGAGGATAATCCAGCCCTAGAACTGCTCATTAAGAAGGTGGTGAACCTCAGTCCCATATGGAGACCCCAGAATTATACAGACCTCTCCCACCAATAGTCTGCCTGAGCATCCCCTAGAATACTAGCATTACTGGTAAGATGAGTAGAGGTGTTTTTGCAATGAGAGACAGCTAACTTCAACCTACCTAGGAGTCCTGAGTGAAATAGAAGAAATTTTCCTGTGCAACCTTGTATGAACCTTGTAGCTCAGACCCTAGAAGTGAGCTCCATCTTGACAGCCCTGAGCAGTGAATTCAGCTTGCAAACACTTAAAAAAATATTTTATTATTATTATTTTATTTTATTTGTATACTTTGTAGACCAGGCTGGCCTTGAACTCACATGAGATCCACGCTGCCTCTGCCTCCTGAGTGCTGGGATTAAAGGCGTGTGCTACCACGCCCAGCTATTATTTTTATTTTATGTGTATGAGTGTATTGCCTGCATGTAGGTAAGTCCACCCATGTTATGCAATGCCCGTGGAGGACAGAAGAGGCTGTCGGATCCCCTGGAACTGGAGTTACAGACAATTGTTAGCTGCCATGTGGATGTTGGAATTCAAACCTGGGTCTTCTGCAAGAACAACCAGTGTTCTTAACCGCTGAGCCATCTCTCCAGCCCCACAAACGTTTGTTTTTAAAAACGAGGTCTCATATTAAGCCCAAATTGGTCTGAAATTCAAGGCAATGCTCCTGCTTCAGCCTCCCATTTCCAAGTGCTAGAATTTTTGGTGTGAACCACCATACCAAGCAAAAGTTGCAGACTTACTAGCGATCTTTGTGTTGTTGTTTTGAGACAGGGTCTCCCTTTGTAATTTCAGCTGGCCTGGTACTCACTGTGTAAACCAGGCTAGGCTGGATCTCACAGAGATTTGCCTGCCTCTGCCTCTGGAGTCCTAGGATTAAAGGTATATGCCACCATGCCCTGGCTTAGTGACCTTTTTATTTATATATGTATGTGTATGTGCCTGCATGAGTTTATGTGCACCATATGCATGCAGGTGTCTGCAGAAGCCAGAGGGAATCAGATCCTTGCCCCAGAACTGGAGTTATAAGCAGTATGAGCCACCATGTAGATGCTAGGAATTAAACCCAGACACTGGAAGAGCAGTAAGTGCTTCTAGCCACTCAGTCATCTCTCCATTTCCCTTCACTAGAGACCCTTTAAAGAGCCTTACTACCTGGACTCATCATCATCCTAATCTTATTCCAGATGTTTCCCCAAGAATGTTGTTCAGAAAATTCTAATCAAAGCTTGGGGGAAATCCCAGGCCAGACAGCAAGATTGTCAAAAACAAAACAAAGTAAAACAAACAAAAGCCCAGCAGGGGAAAGGTGCCTTATTCTCTCCTAACTCCTTCTTGCCCAGCTTTGGAGACAGGCTTTCATTTGAAGAATAGTTGAGTGCCTGTAGAAAGCAGGGGGGTAAATTAGACAAAATAAGCATGACTCAGGGAGACCACAGAGCCTGCATAAAGACTGGCCTCTTCTCAAAGCTGTCTTTTCACAGTGGAGCCATCATCCCATCCCCTGGCCTAGATCACAGAGGCATGGTGTCCTCACAGAATTTGGCTTCCAGCCTGAGGCCTCTCCCAGCAAGGTCTCAGGAACAAAAGCTGCCTGACAATGGATGCCAATGAATATGTGTGTGTGTGTGTGTGTGTGTGTGTGTGTGAGTGTGTGTGTGTGTGTGTGTGTGTGTTCACTAAAGTAAGTTGATGCCCACACGGGAGGTAAATCACACCAGAGCAGGGCAGGACCCCTCAAGGCTGTTGCTTCTTTCTGTGAAACAGTCTGTCTTCAATAAAGCCAGCCAGCCAGTGGATTAAAAGCGCTCCTGGCCTGGGCTGTTGGCTTGCCCCATGCCCATGGCACTTTGTAGTTCCCTGATCCATGATATAGAGGATAGCCAATCAGATTCCTTCTTTCCCTTATATCTGCCCATGTCAACAAAATGCTTTTAAAAAATAGAATTTAGGGCTGGAGAGATGGCTCAACAGTTAAGTGTACTTGCTGTTCTTACAGAGGACCTGGGTTTGACTTCCCAACACCCACATGGTGGCTCACAACTGTTCATAAACTCCAGTTCCATAGGATCTGCTGACTTCTTCTGGCCTCTACTGGCACCAGGCACACATGTGGTACACATACATACATATAGGCCAACACTCATACACATAAAATAAAAGCAAATAATTTTTTGAAAAACAGAATTTAATTTTGTCCATGAAGCATTTGAAGATCAAAGTCATTGTTTTCAAAGAACATTAAAAGGGATCTGCCATATTCAGTAAAGAAGGGAGGGGTGAGGTGGCACATGACAGTAAGCCCAGCATTTGGGAGGTAGAGGATTTCAGGAATTCAAAGCCATCCTTGGATTAGTATGAAGCCAGTCTTGGCTACATAAGACCCTGTCTCAAAAAAAAAAAAAAAGGAACTGAATAAAAAAGGTGTGTTTTGGGGATGGAGAGATGGCTCAGTGGTTAAGAACACTAGTTGTTTTTGCAGAAGACCCGGGTTCAAATCCCAGCACCGACATGGCAGCTAACAACTGCCCGCAACTCCAGTTCCAGGGGATCCTACAGCCTCTTCTGTCCTCCGCAGGCATTGCATGACACAGGTGCACTTACCTACACGCAGGCAATACATGTATACACATAAAAAATAAAAATAATAAATAAAACAAGAAAAAAAAAAGATGTGTTTTAGCCAAGTTACTTGGTGCACACCTGTAATCCCAGACTTGAGGCTGCAAGATTTCTCTGATTTGAAGCCCATCTTGGGCTACAGGGTAAGCCCTTGTCTCAAAAAGTAAAAAAAGACATGCTCTAACATAACACTCACAGGAGTATGTACACTGGTACTGGGGAAGTTGGCTAATAACTCTGAATTCATGGGACTCACAAGGCAATATAGAGATAAAGGGATACCAAAGTCCTTGCTTGAC